GCTTAACAGGAGAGCTAAAGAGGTCCCCTCAGAAAGCAGTACATATGGGAAACTCGGAGGTCGCTCAGGAACAGCTTTGGAATCCTGCCACCCTCCCTGCCCACCTTAAGACAGCTTTAAGAAAACATACCAACACTGACCCTAGTGGTCAGAAGCTGCACTGCAACCTCAAAAGCACATGGTTCAAATCTACCAGCTGCTCCTGTGTGATAAACTGCTTCACCTGCTGGAAGGTCAGCAATGGGTCGGTTCCAACTTGACCGTACACAACAATAGTCCTGAGGGTACTCTAGTTTTGATCATCAGGTTCATTTCTTGATCAGCACCTGATATCAGGTGCAAACTACAAAACCTAGAAGGCCCTCAAACCCCTCCACAAGACCCCTCCACAAGACTTTTTAAATCAAGCCTTTAAACACTTTAGTGATAGAGATGAGGCCAAAAGTCCAACAACGAAGGCTGAGCTCCAATTGGTAGTCTCCGCAGTTGGGGCATCTGTGTCCAGGCACCTTCGATCTTCAGCCGCAAGGCTGATGAGGTCCAGAGGAGTGGCCATCTCTCCGTTGCCAAGGGAAGTCCAACGTGGCCCTGAGCAGACAGGGCGGGGCATGAGTGGAGGTTTAGGGATTAGGGCAATATTTTGTCCTGTGGCCCATTTGGCCGCACTTGAAGCAAGGACCTGGTGAGTGTGCCTGGGCTCTGCGCCATAAGAGAACCATGGCCACTTGTTGGGGGAGTTTCTGAGAGGAGGGAGGTCCCTGAAGGCAAAGGCTAACAATTAGACATCGAATGAGTGAGCTGATTTTTTTTTAATTGCACATAGCTTTAAAAAAAAAAACCACAAAAGGTGACTTTACACAAGGACCTCACCTGTGGGGCTGCATAGAAAACAGACTGACCACATCTACAGAAGGAATCACTGAAGGAGCTTAATATCAGCGGTCGAATCCAGGACCAGTGCTGATATGTAACAGACCATTAACAGTTCATGTGGAAGTTCAAATTGAAGCGGAAGAAAATTAAGGTTAATCCACAAGAACCAAAACACGACTCTGAGTCTGTCTCACCTGAACTTAAAAATCCTTTCCAGAACACTAATGATCAAAGATATTATCTGTGAAGACAGCAAAACGTCATGACAAAAACAGATATGGAAGGAAAGACCAAAATGGATGACTGAAGAGACTCTGAAAAATTCACTAGAGCTTAGAGAAGCCAAAATAAAGGGGATAAATGACGACATGAAAGAAATGTACAGTAGATTCCAAAGGAAGCTTGAGAAGACAGAGGTATCGTTACAGAGAAGTGAACCCTCAGCACAGTCCAGTCGGATTCCCACTTGGGGCAATAAAGGATCTGAATAAAGTGATGATTTCAAAGCCAAAAAAGGGGTGTCGTAGTGGAACGTTCAGAGAGCGAGAGTTGAAGGATAAAGAGGGAAGAACTTGCTCAGCATTTCTAAAGGTGAAAGAACTGAAAAGCAAATTCAAGCTTGCTGTTTGTTGTTGTTAAGTGCTATCAAGTCGTAGACAACTCAGTGACCCTATGAACGAAAGACCTGAGCACTGTTCATAGAGTTTCCAGAGGCAAGCCATTTCAGAAGTGGATGCCACTCCTGCTTCCAAGCTTGTTTTTAACTGGGAAGCTCCACCAAATTCAAACTTAGAGCTGCAATACTGAGGGATGCCATGGGCAAAATCTTGAATGATCCCAGAACAAAGGAAGATGGAAGGCATGCTCAGAGGCACTGTGTCCAAAAATAACTGGTTGACACTAAAAATTTTGGGGAAATACCATATGAACAAGAGTCGAGAGTAATAAAGGAAGAAGTTGAAGCTGTACTGAAGGCATTGGCAAAAAAATAAGGTCCCAGGAATTGATGGAATACCAAATACCAACTAATGGATACAGTCCTAGATGTGTTCACAAGTATATGCAAGAAATTTAGAGGACAGGGCCCTGGCCGACTGACTGGAAAGGTATTTGTTCCCATTCCCAAGAAAAGTGATCCAGCAGAATGTGGAAATTATCAAACAATACCGTTAATATCACATGCAAGCAAAATATTGTCAAAGATCATCTGTAAACAGAACAGTACATAGACAGAGAACTGTCAAAAGTTCAAGTGGGCTTTAGAAGAGGCTGTAACACCAGGATGTCATTGCTGATGTTATTTAGACTTTGGCCAAAAGCAAAGAATACCAAAAGAATGTCTATTTGTGTTTTATTGACTGTGCAAAGGCATTTGACTGTGTGGATTATAACAAACTATGATTAACATTGAGAAGAAGATGAATCCTAGAACACTTAATTGTGCTCATGCAAAACCTGTGCCTAGAACAAGAAGCTCTTGTCTGAACAGAACAAGGAAATACTGAATTACTTAAAATCAGGAAAGGTGTATGTCAGGGTTGTACCCTTTCTCCATATCTAGTCAATCTGTACGGTGAGCAAATTATTTGAGAAGATGGACTGTATGAAGAATTTGACCTCAGGATTGGAGGAAGACTCATGAACATCCCACGTATGCAGATGACAAAACCTGACTTGCTAGAAGTAAGAACGACCTGAAACACCGCAAAAGACCAAAGACCACAGCCTTCAATATGGATTGCATCTCAACATCAAGAAGGTGAAAATTGTCACCACGTGTATCTATATACAGCATCATGATAGAGAAAAGGTTGAAACTGTTAATGATTTCATCTTAGTTGGATCCACAATGAACATCCTTGATACCAGCAGTCAGAAGATCAGGAGAGGTATTGCTTTGGGCGAGGACATTGTCAGGGACCTCTCCAAATAACCGAGAAGCAATGTTGTTGGCTTGAGGCCTAAAGTGTTTCTTATTCAGGACTTTTCAGTCACTTGCTATGCATCTAAGAGCTGGACAATAAATAGGGATGATGGAAGAATTCATGCCTTTGAACTGTGGTGTTGGAGGACAGTGCTGAATATCCCATGAACAGCTAGAAAAAGCATACAGATCATTCTTGGGAAAAGCGCAGCCAGAGTGCTTTCCAGAGGCAAGGACAGGGAAACTCTTAGACGTGTTCCGAGGAGAAGCTATTCCTTGGAAACGGATGTGCTTGGAAAGGTGGAGAGTCAGTGGAAGAGGAAGACCGTCAGCAAGATGGATCGACACGGTCAATGCAGCCGTGGATCAAGTGTGTTGGAGATAGTGAGGGTGGCACAAGCTAGGAGAGCGTTCACATCTGTTGTCCATACGGTCACTATGAGTTGTACTCAACTCAACAGCACCTAACAACGTAGCTAGAAGCCTAGCAGAGCTGGAAATACTCGGTGATACAAGGTTCTCACTGTAATGAAGAGCAGTCCTTGTTATGGGGTTCCAGAAAATCTCTTCTTCGAAAAGCCATTCTACATCTGTCTATCTATCTATCTATCTATCTATCTATCTATCTATCTATCTATCTATCGTGTGTGCACGTGCACACATGTGTGTGTAAACACGTGATAAATTTAATGCACAGAAAACCTCAAAATGAATTATGATTTGTTAAATATTGACATTGCCCCTTCTGATGCCAAAAGTTCTGTTGGACACCAGGGCCAGAGCCATGAGCAAACGCTCCACAGGTCCCTTCACCGTAGAAGGTTTTGTCTATCAGGGTTTTAGAGGAGGGTCCCTGACTACAGAGATGGAGTCTGGGCAAAGATGAGTTCGTGTTTTCTGCAGGCCGTTACCGCTCTCGCTGTCTGACGTGAATAACCATGGTGGCCTGTCCGACAGACTGCCTTCTCGCTTCAATGCTGGGAGGCCCTGGGCTGGTCCCTCCCTTGCCTTTTTTCTGAACTTTCTTGGGGAGAAAAGGGATCAAACTCAAGCTGGTCCTTGGAACTTTTCCATTTAGCAATGAGAAACATGTTTGTTCTTTTTACGTTTTTATTGAAAGTTGTGTGTAAGTTAACAGTAAATTTTACATTCATACATGCTTCATTTTATCATTAATCTCAGTCCCCACACTGTAAAGACACCCTTTCCATTTCCTTCCTGTAATTTTCATTTCCATTCATAATCCTATCCTATCCCACCCTTCCTTCTGAGTTTTCTCCCTGGCTGAATGCGGCTCACTTGCTCCTGAATGATGAGTGTTGGAGGAATGGAGGCCTCCCTGGCACTTTTGTCCACCTCATACCAATCGTTGCTGAGAGTTGAGTCGCGGGGTTGAGATCTAAGGGCCACAGCCGGAGGCATCCTAATATCTCAATGAGCCCAGCAGGCCTGCCTTCGTGTGCTCTCGAGTCTTGCTCCACGTTCTTCTACTCCAGCCGGGCAATCCAGTGCTTCCCATCTAACTTTGAGTGTATCAACCAGGGTCTTAAAGGTTTTGAGCAAGTAAAACCATTGGTCTCTCCCTGTCTGGACAAAGAATGAAGAAAATAAAAGGCACATAGAAAACTAATCTAGTGAACTAATGGACTGCAGTAAGCTTAGTTTCCATACCCTGAGACCAGGGAAGCTCGATGGGGCCCTCTGCTGCTGGCCGCTCGGAAAGGACCACAGGAGAGGGCCCGGGGCTGAGTGGCAGCGTGGCATGAGCCTTCTGTCCCTGACTTGAGTCTGGCAGGGCATTTCATCTGTTTGCCTTTCCTGTTGGGTTTTCAAACCACATTGTTGTGTGCGCTAAGACCACAAGTCTCTGTGGTCAGTAACTACTTCATGGGCAATTCTGAAACTCTTCAAATTGGTCAAGAAGTCACTTTAGTCCAGCACTTCCCAAAGCCAGCTTTGTGGCCAGCAGCCCCAGAAGATAGTCACCTGGGGAAACCCTGCACACTGGCGTTCACCCACACAACCAAGCAGAGTCTTGCCCTCCCGCACCCCACACCCCACACTCAGCCCCTAGTCCTACTGCAGAAACATCTGCTTAGCTTTGCTGATACCCACAGTCCCCACTTGGTGATGGGCAATTGTCTGTGCGCCAGCCAGTAACAGGCTTTCCAGTCCACACTAGGGAGGCCCTGTCTCCAGGGAGTCACATGGTGAAGGAGGACATGTTCTCGTCCACCACCTCGCTGGTCTGCCTGGAGGTGGCGCTCTCGGAGTACACCCAGGAGCAGGAGAAGCTGGCGGCCTGGTGTTTTCTTCTTACACACCACAGGTCCTTCATGATCTTCAGGAAGTAGTTTCGGAACTTCTGGCCCACAAAGGCGTAGAGCACGGGGTTGAGACAGCAGTGCAGGAAGGCCAAGACCTCGGTGATGTTCTTGGTGTAGCCAATGAGCTTCTCGCCGCTGCAGGACCGGCCTGTGCTGCCCAGGTTTACAGCGGTCACGAGCAAAACCATGTTGTGGGGAGTCTGGCAAATGAGAAACACGAGGACCACTGCGATGATCACCCGGATGGCCTTGTGCCTTTTGGAATTCTGCGCGTGCACTAGGGTTTTGACAATGAACGTGTAGCAGAAGATCATGAACACCAGTGGGATGAAGAAGCCAAAGAGGAGCTGTAGCCCGAGCATCAGCAGCTTCCACCGAATGGGCTCGGAGACGTTGTGGTACTTGGGCTCACAGACGTCCATGCCCTGCAGGCTGTACTTCTGGTTGAAGGTGAAGGTGGAGCTGGAGATGACGATGGACAGCGCCCAGACCATGAAGCAGATGGCCTTGCTATGTGTTAAGGTTTTGGACCGGAGCCGGAAAGACTTGGTGGCCTGCACAATGGCGATGTAGCGGTCCAGGCTGACGCAGGTCAGAAGCAGCATCCCGCAGTTGAAGTTGATGGCATAGATGCCTTTCATCAGCTTGCACGTGACGTTACTAAAGGGCCATGCTCCGCTCGCGTGGTTCACTGCCCAGAAGGGGAGCGTGAGGACAAACAGTATGTCTGCGATGGCCATGTTGAAGAGGTACACGTCGGTCATGGACTTGGTCTTCTTGTAGAAAGCAAAGGTGATCACCACTAAAATATTCCCCAACAGGCCAAAGACACATATCAGGGCGTAAGCAATGGGCACAAACAACCTGGAGAACCTTCTCACCTCCTCCAAGGAGCACAGTAAGGTGTCATTGTCCATATAATAGTCCTCACTGGTCGATGAATAGTAATCGTCACTCCTGTCACTGCTGTTCACTAGTTCCTGGAACATCAGAGAAGGTAGAGTTAGCGGTTGGGTCAAGTAGTCACAATTCACCAAAACCGAACTCCCACCTCACGGTAAGGCAGCGTTTACCTCACTCACTGTGGTGCCAGCTCGGGGCAGGAAAGGTGGACTTGCCATTGAAAGGGGAAGCTCGGGCCTCTGGCTCATCAGCAGAGACATAGGAAAGTGGAGTGACCTAAGAGGAGAAAGGAGACGATCCAAACATAGGTTATTAGGACATGTGGTCTCTCAGAGCATAAGGCCAAGCAGCACCCCATCCCATCCCGTGCAACGTGCCAGTCTATGTTAAATGTTCTCCAAGAGCAGAGCCTTTCTCTCTGAAGGGACACACAGTAAGTGTCATAAGCTTTGTACAAATGCTTGACTCTGCTTTTGAAGCTTGAAAATGGCCACTGATAAGACTCCGTGAGTGGCTCTGCCTGGGTCTAGTCTTGGCTAGAAGTCACTGACCCCTAGTGCAGACCGTATGAAGAGTGATATCAACAAGGCCATGGACAAGCACAGAAACACAGCACAGAATGCAGGAGTAACAATATCCAGCATTCAAACAAAACTTCCCAGACCGCACAAGGTCATGTTGTTCTCAGAAAGAGGAAAGTGGAAGATACAGAGAGAGGGCAAATGGATTCTACAACCGTACTCCTTGTGCTCAAGAAGATGACCTACTCCTGAGTCAATCTCAGCTTGCGGTGACCCCGTACCACAGAGCAGAGCTACCTCGTAGGGCTCCTGGGGCTGTATCCCTAGGAACCGATGGCATATCAATTGACATATTTCAACAAACAGATGCTGCCCTGGGCATGGTCACCAGGTTGTGCCAAGAAATCTGATGGACTTCTATATGGTCACCTGACTAGAAGAGATCGGTATTTGTTGCTATTCCTAAGAAAGGGTAATCACTGTACCAGAAAGAATCAATTAACACTGAAAACTTTCAGGAAGTACTATATGAACAGGAGTGAATGGTAGTGAAGGAGGAAATGGAAGCTGCATTGAAGGCATTGGCAAAATATAAGGACTTGGTGAGTTCTGGTGGCCTAGTGGCAGGAAGCTGTACTGCAATCCCAGAGGTACACTGTTCGAATGTACCAGATGCTCTGCTGGAAAAGGAGGGCAATCTCTTCCTGTACAAGTCGGATCCAATTTGATGGTACACACACACAAAATAATAATTTTAAAAATCTAAAAAAAAAAAATAAGGCCCCAGGAGTCGATGGGATACTGATTGACTTGTTTCAATTAACAAATGCAGCCTTGGATGCACTCACCAGTCTATGCCAGGAAATTTGGAGGATGGCTGTTTGGCCAACAGATTGGAAGAGGTCTATATTTGCTCTCATTCCCAAGAAAGGTGATCCAACTGAATGTGGAAACTATCTAACAATATCATTAATATCACATGCAAGCAAAATACTGCTGAAGATCATTCAAAAATAGCTATAACAGTACAAAGATAGGGAACAGCCAGAAGTTCAATAGGATTTAGAAGAGGCTGTGGCACCAGGGATATCATCGCTGATGTCAGATGGATCCTGAATGAAAGGAAGGAATACCAGAAGAATGTTGATTTGTGCTTTATTGACTTTGCAAAGGCATTTATTTGACTGTGTAGATCATAACAAGTTGTGGCTGACATTGAGAAGAATAGGAAACCCAGAGCACTTAATTGTGCTCATGCAAAACCTGTACTTGGATCAAGAGGCTGTTGTGTGAACAGAACAGGCAACACTGCAAGGTTTAAAATTGAGGATGGAGTGTTAGGGCTGTATTCTCTCTCCCTACCTATTCAATCTGTATGTTTAGCAAATTATTCGAGAAGCTGGACTCTCTGAGGAGGAGTGTGGCATCAGGGCTGTAGCGAGACTCATCAATAACCTGGATTATACAGATGACAAACCTTCGCTTGCTGAAAGTAAGGAGGACTTGAAGCACTTCTGGCAGATTAAGGAATGCAGCCTTTTAGGTGGATTGCATCACAACGTCAAGAAAACAAAGATTCTTACTACTGGATTGATAGGCAGCATCATGATGGATGGAGAGGAGATTGAAACCATCAACAGCTTCATCTTGCTTGGACCCACAATTAACACCTTTGGTACCAGCAGTCAAGAAATCAGGAAATGCATCGCACTGGGAAAATCTACAGTTAGGCATCTCTCTAAATTATTGAGGAGTAATGACATCAGTTTGAGGACTAAAGTGCATCTGATTTAGGTCATAGTGTTCCCGATTACTTGATATGCACTTGAGAGCTGGACAATGAATAAGGATGACAGAAGAATTGACACTTTGAGCTGTGGTGTTGGAGAAGAACTCTGAACATCCCATGGAAGGCCAAGAGAATGAACAGATATGTCTTGGCAAGGAGAATGCTCTTTAGAGGCAAGAATGATGAGGCTTTGCACCACATACTTTGGGCAGGTTGCCAGGAAGGGCTATTCCTTGGAAAAGGACATGATTCTTGGAAGGGTGGATGGTCAGTGGAGAGGACGACTGTCCACCAGGTGGGTTGACACGGTGACCGCTTCAATGGGCTCTTGTGTGTCAGGCAGTGTGAGGATGGCGCGGGACAGAACAGGGTTCAGATCTTTTGTGCACAGGTTCACTATGAGTTGTATTTGGCTTGACTGCATCTAACAGCAATAACAAAATAATAAGAAAGTTCCAACAAGTGGCTTATATTATTATTGAACAATATCATGCACAACCAAAATCCTGCTGAAGATTATCCAAAAAGAAGTGGAACAGTAAATTAACAGAGAGCTACCAGAAATACAAGCTGGGTGTAGAAGAAGCCGTGGTACTAGGGACATTATCGCCAACGTCAAATGGATCTTGGCTGAGAGCGAAGACTACCAGAGGAATATCTATCTGTGTTTCATTGACTAAGCAAAGGCGTTTGACTGTGTGGATCACAACAAATTGTGGCTAATCTTGAGAAGAATGAGAATCCTAGAACACTTGATTGTGCAAATGCAAAACCTGTACTTGGACCGGGAGGCAGTCATCAGAATAGAGCAAGGAAACACTGCATGGTTCAAAATTAGAAAGGGAGTGTGTCTGGGATGCATCCTGTCTCCATACCTTTTCAACCTGTATGCAAACAGATCATTCAGGAGGCTGGGCTTTATGAGGAGGAATGTGGCATAAGGATTTGAGGAAGACTCATCAACAGTGTACTTTATGCAGATGATACAACCTTGTTTGCTGAAACTGAGAACCTGAAGTGTTTGCTTCAAAAGGTGAAGGCCTGTAGTCTTCAATATAGACTGGAGCTCAACATCAAAAAGACAAAGATTCTCACCACTGGGCCAATTGGCACCTCCATGATAGATGGAGAAGGGATTGTAGCTATTAATAATTACAGCTTGCTTGGTTCCATAATCAATAATCTTGGTACCAGCAGTCAGGAAATCAAAAGAGGAATTGCATTGGAAAGATCTGCGGTCAGGGACCTCTTCAGAGTACTGAAAAGCAACAATGTCAATCTAGAGACTAAGGTGTGCTTGGTCCAGGCCATGATCTTTGTAATTACTTGTTATGTGTCAGAGAGCAGGACAATGACTAAGGATGACAGAAGAATTGATGCCTTTGAGCTGTGGTTCTGGAGAAGAGTATTAAACATACCATGGACTACCAGGAGCACAAATAGATCTGTCTTGGAGAGGGTGAAACCAAGTTGTTCCTTGAAGGCAATGATTTTGAATCTCCATCTCATTCTTTGGGCATGTGGCCAGGAGGGACCAGTCCTTGGAGAAGGACATCATGCTTGGAATGATAGAGGGACAGAGCAGGAGAAAAAGATCCTAGATGAAATGAATTGGTATAGTAACTGGGACAAATGATACTAGCTGTGTTGGAGTCAGTGAGACCGGCTCAGGATAGGGCAAAGTTCAGAGCTTTTGCACGTAGGGTCTCTCTGAGTCACAAGCAACTTGATGGCATATACAGCAATCCCCTCTGAAGGCACACTGCTTCACTGTCTCCCCTGGTGTGGGTGGTAAGTTCAAACTGCAGACCCTTCAGTTAGCAGCCCAGTGCTTAATCCACCACATCACCACATTACTTCAGACAGTAAAAAGAAACATAAATGAGGAAGAGAGTAATACATACAAAATATGCAAAACACTTAGAAATTAAATATATTACATGCAAACTGAAAAAATATATTAGTTGGTATTAATATCAGATTTGACACTGCAGAATAAAATTTTGGGTTTTTATATTTTTAAACTATTTTATTGGTTTTCAGACGATTATTCATGTACATCATATTGCGTTGATGTACATTGTTTTATATAATAATTCATGTGCATCTTTTCTATATAATTAATGACTATTTACCAATGTCTTCTAAAAAATAAAGTTTTTATTTTATACTGGTTTGCTTACAAAGTTCATATACATTGCTTTCACATCAGATCTTTCCCATTTTTTTTATCTACCCCTCTCTCTACTCATCAAATAGTGCGACTGTATGGTTACCCCCTGCCCACCCTCACCCCTCTGCTCCTACCCTCCCCCACCTTGGATCCTCATGTTGTTGTTGTTGTTGTT